CATAAATACAGCAACATATTTATTACATTGTACTGCATTTTTATTAATACTAACATGCAAATATATGTTTAATCTTATTGACCATTTACATTTTTATTCCTGTGAGTAATTGTCATAGGGGCCCCAGTACACTGCTTTGCCCAGGGCTCATAATGCTGTTAAGACAGCCCTAGTAATATATGCATATATTTAATCCAGAAGTGGGGATTTTGTAATCCTCGCATAATTTCATGTGATCCTCAGTTTAATTCCAGCCTTCTGTACATGTTCGAACCTCTAGTGAGTCTTACATATCCTTGTAGCTGGGGTGTCAAAGAAATTGGTGTTTTGATCGTTTCTTTACTCTGACTTCACCCTTGTGGTCCCTGAGGAAATAGGGCAATTGGTAGGAAAAATAGCCCACTCACGGTCTCTTTCACTAAGAGGTGCTTTTCCTTGCTTGCCAAGTACATAAATAATTTGCAGCGTCAAATTATCATCCAAAGATTATTATTGCCTTACCCCAAGGGTTGATGTAATGCATAAAGCTCGGGTAATAGTCAACAACTTAGCAGCTTTTCTGCTAAAAGGGTTTTCTAATTCTGGAAATACCAGAGATTGAACTGGGACCTTTTGCATGCAAAGCATAAGACACTGAGCTATGGTCTTCTTCATTCTTTTAGTTATTATTTTCATTTTAGCAATTCCAAAAATAACAGAAGAGTAATCAGACTTCTATAAACATTTAAAAAATATATCCAATAATCAAATGCAACTGGATTTTGCTGTCTGCTGACTAAAAGCTATATGCGGTTGCATTTTGTTGTCAATATTGGTGTACTCATTTTCTTAGTTTTTAGCTGGCATAAAAAAAAGCAATGAATGCACAGAATATTTTTAATTTTATTATCTAATTTAAATGTGAATTAGCTAATAAACAATGCATAGACAAATAACATTGAGAACACTAATAAACATTTGTTCTGCCCCTAACTTCTAATATATTAATGATTGCTCAGAGGGAAAATGTAAATTTTCAGAATCATATGAACACAGTTTCAAGCAGCATATCTTGATTTCATTAAGTATTTTAATGACAGTGTTTTTAAAGGATTTGATAAATTAATAGATATATAGATAGATAGATAGATAGATAGATAGATAGATAGATAGATAGATA